AATGTGGTTAGTGACAGAATTGGATCGACCTGTCATTTCTGAAGGGAGGAAATTGCCCGTGGTGACCTTTTCCCTCCTAGGCGCCCTCAGAGGCTTAGTTCATCCTGAGGGATTTGTGTTGCCTCTAAGTGCTGTCAGGAATGTCCAGCGTGTCATGTCCAACCAATAATCACAACAGATAAGGATTTCCTTTCTGATCATAGCGGTGGACTATATGTGACTTTGGTGTTCCTGGGAGGAGGCTGGTGATTAAGATGTGGTTGGATTAGAGTTCTGCTGAAGAGTGTTTGTGCAAGGAGAGGCAGGCATCTCTAGTGGAGGCTTAGTTTGACAGTTTCTAGTTTGTTTGTTTTTCTTAGTTTTGTGTGGAATCAAATAAATACCAAGTAATGGATTAGATAATGCAAAATAAACATTTACAGAAATATAATTATGAAGTACATCTAGAAATAAGGAATACACACACCATTGATTTTTGAACTGAAATACTTCCATTATGGCCAAGTAAAGTTATTACTTTGTCCATGTTTATATATATATATAGATATATATAGATATAGATATATAGATATATACATATATGTAAACGTGGACAAAGTGTACATTATTTTCCATACATACCCAATGTACAGACATGCAGAAGCTAAATACCGCATTATCCTGAAGATTAGTCATGAACACACCCTTCCCCTCATTCACTTAAGGTATATTAAAAACAATTATACTGACACTGTCTCTTCTGACAACATCACCAAATATTCTTTTTAATTTCTTAGAGCACTGGCCACAAACCTAAAATCAATAATGTTCTTTCAAATTGGCCTAAAGCTCTTCATGTGACATAAGATGAAGTAGACTGAGAGCTGTACATTTTCACTACCGAAATAAGTATTAAGCTGAATTACCATATAATTAATTAATTCATTTTAAGCTTTATTGATCCTACATTGGGGATGTTGTGTTGTGACAGCAGATCTGCTGAAACAGGCTGCCACTTGGAGACACTATATATGTGGTTCCTCTGGGCCTTGAACCCAGAACCTCTTGTGTGTGAGGCAGATGTGTAAGCAGGTTTGATAACCGCTACACTATGGAACCACATGTCGTTTTCAGCACCATGGACAGCACTCAGCCATGTCTTTAATTACAGGGTGCTGTACATTGCACTGCAGCTAAAAGGACTGTAGGAATGACAGGTTCTTGGTGGAAAGGTTGTCTGTATATTGTATCAACTGAGGCTGTTAATGGAGAGATAGAATAAAAACCATCACATCCAGTCAATGTTATTATTATTAAATCATCATCATTCATAGATCATGACATGACAGAGGAGCAGCTGTTTTCACACATGCTCATCTACACAGGACTCATGGTTGTGAGTTGTAGGTGGCTGTTGTTAATGTGTCACATCTTACACTGAATCTGTCTTATTTCTGTAGGTCACAAGTTGCTTTTTAGGTTTGGCGAATTTTAGTTTAGTGATTTTTCAAAGGCATTGATACATGAGAAACATGCATCAGGTCAAGACACATTGAAAGTGATAAATCTCTATTCTACTGGTTTCTGGCTGTTTCAAACCTGTGGTAAAAACGTATTAGATGTCATTACCTCAGAGGTATTGATGACATTAGATGAGTCATACCTTTCAGGTTTTTTGGTTGAAAAATATCCTTTTAAAATACGTACTTTTATGAACTTATCCTGTACCTTATGATGTATTATATGCTCTTTATTATTGAATCAGTCAAAATGTATGATGCCGCAGTCTCCCAACTTCACACAGCTTTTTTAACCTTCTACTAAGGACAGCTCATAATAACGTCTCAAAATATTAAAATTGCAAAATATATTTCCTAACATGCTGACTTTGGAGTCACACCAGAGAAAGTATAGAGAATATGAGAGCACTTGCATTATTTTCAACACAAAGGTCTGTGAGGAAAGTCAGAGCATGATGGATCAACTCAGCTTTACTTATTCTCATTCCTCTGCATACATGGTACACATATAGAACAGAACGATTGTGTTTTGTTCAGACCCCAATGCAGAAGGCATAGCAACAGCTAGGATAGATGCAGAGAGTGTAATTATAGAATTTGAGAAATAGAATAGATATATGTACATGAAAAATTACTTTCCATGTATTTAAATGCATTTGAAACTTCAAACTAGTGTTGCAAACTGTTTCAAACGGGACAGTGATTTAGGTAAGAAGTAGGTACTAATTCTATGGCCTTAGGTAAAAAGAGTACAATTCAGAAAAAAAAGAAAAGAAAATTACAGACACCTGTTGAAGGCCATGGACAATAAGACCTCTCGATGTTATTCAAGACTTCACAGGAAGCTGCATTGGCCAGTGTCTGTTGGAAATAAGTGTAATAGTTAAATGCTCACAAGCACATCTGAGGCGTATGTTAAGTGTGCTAAGGTTACAAGTTGGAAGCATTCACAGTGATGGGCATGATGTAGAAAAGGCCACCCTCTAGCAGCTAGCTGAGCCAATTTGTATTACCTTTATTTTTCCTGGGAAATTTGGATGTGTTGCGTTTCACACAAATGATGTAGACGTCCGACTCGCCGCCCCTGCGGTGTTCTGTGCTAACAAGCTCCCCACTGCCCTTTCTGAGAACTGCCAAAACTGAGGGTGGTATCACATTTTAAATTAATGAAGGCTAGCGCCACAATTTTCCTTTGTGTTTGTGTTGTTTTTTTTTTTTTTGTTTTTTTTTTTTTTGCACTGCGGTCTTGCTGCTGGGAACGAGACACAGTATAACTAACACTAATTATCAGTTTATCCCAGTGTAGTCTGGGTTGTTACTCACTGGTTGGGCAGCTGCAGAAACCACCTGGGGAGACAAAACTAGACCATTACTGCATCACAGCAAATATCTGTGGATAATTGATTGAGTGTTGAATTTCCTGTAAAGGAAATAATTCCATCTATAATGACTATTGTGGAGACTTTTCAGTTTCAGCTTCCTGTCAAAGTAGAAAATCCTGGCACAACTAAAAAAACCAACATCTCCCGCAGCCCTCAGATCCTTTTTATTACTGGGAAAGATGAGTCTTCTTTATTGGCATGATTCAGCTGGGGTTGTCGTTCTAAAGGTCATCTCCGTACTGCACGAGCAAATTATAAATTAGAGTTACTAGTGGCCTGTCAGAGTGGGGAATATTTGTAAGATGTCTAAAAATTTGAAACCAGTATAAAAACAATCAGAACAAAATGTATCCTCTGTTTTTGGTTTTTCCCAAAGTAGTAATAATTAACTATCACTTTATTCACTTGCAATCTATTTTCTGTAGACAAATAGATTGAAAACTGAGGAAATAATACATTTCACATGATATGGGTATATGCCAGATTTGGTATGGTACTGCTTGGAAGCAGTGGTATTACCAGTTCTGTAGTAATTTGTCTGTGATCTATACAATTGTCGATGCACGCCACAAGCAGAAGGATTTTCTTGTATTTCATGATTGTGAATAGGTATGGGTTACTGCAGTGATCATGTTCACCTCACACAAAGGAGGAAACAGTTAATGTAAATACTCTATTTGTTTCATCTTTTATACAGTTGTTGGTTTCTGTAGTGTAGTGGTTATCACATTTGCCTGACACCTAAAAGGTCCCCAGACTGGGCAGAAGCATCTCTTTTTTTTATTGACATTAAATATTGTCCACTCTCCCTGTCTGCTAAAAAACATGAAGTGAAATAGATAAAGTACATTTTGTTGTAAGTTTAAAACTAAAGGGCTTCAGGACAACAGTTTGTACCTAAACCAAGATGTATATTCAATTCACGGAGCTGTGGCCCTTTATCAGATACTAAACAGAGACACACTACCTCCTGAAGCTGTGATACAGTAAATGAATGTCACCAGTGCAGCTGTGCTCGGTCCGACTCCATCCTGAGACACTTATCTAACTGCTCACATCACTGCGGTCCCAGAACCACATTATGTTGACATTTATTCTTTTCTCTACTCGGCCCCCTGATCAACAGTTTATGTGAAATGTTCCAGGTATGAGGCTCTGTTCTGAATCGTGAAAACAGCCCTATCACTTACATAATGTGCAGACACGTCTGCTTGATACATGCACGGTACAATCAGCAGTGAATATCCAACATCACGGTGGTCGTCGCGAGAATGTTTTCATCTAGTTCACAGCAGACCTCATGTTAGGATGATATTCATTTGCTTCTCATATTCCACAAGCCAAGACGGTGAT